ATTATTTTGTTATGATTGAGTTAGTTGGTGGTGTTAGGGTGTTCCTATGTCCTTAATGTGATAATTGATTGAATTAATGTCCCTTAAACACATGGTACGATGATTGACTGAAATTTATTGAAAAAGACATTTAAAAAATGTTTATCACATAAAAGAAATACAAAAATGTGTTTAAAAATAATTTATATTATTTTATTATCCAAAATATCAATACCCACTGGAGTTAAGTTAGACTACTAAATGTTACCTCCAAATTCTCTGATAAAAATATCATCTACAATCCACGTGTAACAGAAGTCACTTGGTAACAAAGCTCACTAGGCTAATCAACACACAATTCCTTTTACAAAGGTAAAAGGTTCTTCATAAAAAAATTGGTTGTATTATTGTAAGTTTGTTGATTAGTACCGTAATTGAGTTTGCGAATATTAGGCGCTAAATTTTTTAATAATAATTGTAGTTAAAATGGATTGAAGTATTATGAAAGCAATGAGTATTTTTATTTTTTCTTGTAAATTTACATTATAATGATTTTTTTTCAAAAGAAATACTGTTTAAAGGAATTTTAAATTTATTTCCTACAATGTGTAATTTTAATATCTTAGTTACCTGTGTGTCAATCCACAAATATGTTTTCCAATAAGTCCAATAGATGAAAATTAGGCTAGATTTTTTAAAGATAAATACTATTTTGAACACATCGTATAAGCAATTTAAATTATCCAATTTTAATATGGGTTCTTGATAGAACACTAGACACTATCATTCACTCTTTGGTTTGTACTGTTTTTTGGATGGTTGCTAATGTCTTATACGCATGATAAAGTTTCCGAACCTACTGCCACCCCACCACCCTGTTTAATAAACATTTAACACCTGGATGTAATTTGCAAATCTTCAACTTAAAAAAAAAAAGAGAAAATTATTTTTTTTCTTTAATTATTAACTTGTTATTAATTTACAATATTAACTTTAATTTCAGAAGAGTTCTTATTTATTTAGAAATGGTTTTAAAAATTAAAACCAGAGAAGAGAATTTAAAAAATTAAGTTTTTACTTGATTTACTTGTTACTTTAAAAATTAGTTTGCTTTATTTTCACTTTATTTTTTTATCACGTATATTGTTTGCGTTTTTCGAAAAATATAATAAACTCTTCCCCATAGTTAAGATTTCCCAAGGCTTTGCCTGATTTTCAAAATTATTCCCCAGATCCCAAGGGGGGTCGTGAATTCCCAAGAGCTTGGGAAATTTCCCAAGGTGTGGTAGCCCTGCCCCTGCCCCTGCCCTTTGGCCAGATTTTAATCCCTTATAACCTAGTATGCTAAAAGAAATTTTAAAACTGTGGGCATGTTCACCAGTTCACCAAAAAGTAATGGAAAAACTGGAGAAAGAAAATGTGTGAGTGCGTGTGGGGGGGTGATCCTAGATGTTCCGTTTTGGGATAAGGGGCCAAAAATTTGTGTGGTTTTTTTATCTGTGATGTATAAATATAATTTCATATTCGCATATTCTAAAGGGTAATGAACTCATGAATTTAATTTTATTCCTAAAACTAGATAAATATACGGATTCGCTCGTGATGGCGGATGGATGCCATACATATATATAGCTAGCATCTAAATTAATGGGTCTGTAAAAACAAATAACTATATTTTTTAAAAATTATCTCTTCTCTGAAGAAAGAAACTAATAAAATAAAATCCGAAAGAATCCCATTCCTCATTATGGGATCCCTTCCCAATGGGATCCCGACTTCAGTTAGATTCCAATACAATAGGATCCAATTTCCCAAGATGATCCAGTTTCCCCATTGGGATCTCAACACATGGGATCCCTATACCATTGGGATCCAATTTCCCGTTGGGAACCTGAACCCAGTGGCATCCAGTTTCCCCGATGGGATCCCATACCTGTGGAGATCCTGTTGTTGGTGGGATCTCTATTTCCGGTGGGATCTCTATTTCCAGTGGGATCCCGTTCTCTGGTGGCGTCTTGTTATCCGGTGGGGGCCTGCTCTCCGACGGGATCCCATTCCTTTTTTAGACTAATGATCGGCATTTCGCACGCTCCCACCACCCTTTTTTCTCTCAGTGCTCTGAAAAAATGTACCGATAGTCCTTTGAAGTTGAAGCCTTGGTTGGGGAAAGAGGTGGGGGTGGAAATAGAAGTGATTAACGACCAAGGCACCGACCAAACACACACATTTCCAGGAGTGGAGTTTAAAAAAAAAAGAATTTGTACCAATGTGTGATCATGTGTACAATTTGTTTTAAGCATTTGTGACGATGCAGAAATGGGGGAATTACGGCCATGATATCGTGGGGTCATTTATTGGCTGCCATCTCAAAATGGTAAGCAAATACGTTGTCCGTGATAGCTTAGCTCTAATTTGAGCATCCCTCCCCTATTTCGTATGCCAATGCGCTCAAGTTGACTGATTTGCGCTGAGTAAAATGAGGGTGGGGCTAGTTATTATGTAAAGAAACGGACTAATTTTGCGGTCAGGACGACCAAGATTAACAAGAATTCAAATTGTTGATCCAACTGAAATTTTATATGATGCATCTAGAGTAGGTTGACCAAATCATGATTTGGAAAAAACGGGACGCTTTCAAGGACGGTTGTTTTGTTGTTTTTGTTGTTTTTTTTGCGAAGAGGGGGGGGGGGGCGTATCCTCCAGTTAAAGAGGAGTCCGGGGGCCTCGGCCATGAACTGTTTATTGAAATATGCTCATTTTAACTCTGAAATGTAACCTAGAAATCTACTTGGGGCACTCAGTCTTTTTCTGTGTTTCACTGATGTGATGTGTTGCCTTATGTCTGAACGCCCACCATGACCAATACTAAAAACATTATTGCAAACTGTGCACTCGGCTTCACTTTCATAGCGTCCCTTTTTTAATCTAGGAATATATGGAATACTCATCCATAAACTTACATTGATGCTAGGGCATAATTATTGTTTACCTGAGAAGATAATATAAAATTAAAGAATAAAGTTCAACACCCAAAACAAACACCTGCCACTCTGACACTAACATACCGGTAGGGATCACACATAAGACTAACACATTACACGTAGCGGTCGTGGAATCAAATTTTTTTTCTGCACAGTTAAATCCTTCCCCCCCCCCCCCCCCCCCCATCCCTTTGTGGCTTCAAGTCTTGTGTCTTTCGCTATACATTTACGTATAAGATCTATGGCAGGGACACTATGGTGGAGAGGGAATGGTGCAGCCATCACGCGAGCCCACATCACTACTGGCACTGGCTACACAGCTAGCCAACATATTATTTGAATTTATATTATAAATTAAGACGTTTTAGTAATTAGAAAATGTGTTTGGTTTAAAAAAAAACGGGACATTCAGGCGTCCCGAGAGACTTTTTCGGGACAACGGGTAAGATCGAGAAAAAAGGGGACAATCCCGTTTTTACGGGACGTTTGGTCACCCTAAGCTAGAGACCGACCAAATTTCGGGTTCGGTTTCGGCACCGAGTTTGGCCAGTAGATCACTCTCGGCCTAGTTTCGGTTTGGGCCGAAACTGAAAATTTACTTTCGGCTTAATTTCGGTTTTGACCGAAAAAGAAAAGTCAAGTTTCGGTTTAATTTCGGTTTCGGCCGAAAATGACTGAGACTTTCGGCCATCCGACCGAAAGTGACTTAGTTTTTGATCATCTGCCAGAAGTCAGACTGTCTGTCGCTAGGCCGACAATCTGATATTCATTAGTTTTCGACGCCTTACTGCCATCGTATGTTAAATGACTCATACTGAGCTAAAGCTGCCCACAGCTGCATGATGACCTACTGGTCCTATATTTCTATAAAATTACGTTTCAATAAGGCCTAGACAAATGTAAACAGCTTTGTGGAAGAAAAACCAACGGAATGGTACTATTTATATCATTTTTTTTCTTCCAAAAATAAAATTTGGAACCCTAGGTTTATTCATTCCTTCATTTGTGATATACATTGTAATTTATCATTATCATGCTCATCAATGTTGTCATAGGCAAAGGTGAATAATATTGCACAATTCTAGGGAATGGTAAAGTTTCAATTATTTTTTTTTAATTAAAAAAAAAATAATTTTAAGCAAACGTAGGCCTTTTCAAACCATTCATTTCTTAAAAGTCATCATCATCAAGCCCATAAACATTGTTAGTGAGGAAATAACATGAGTGTGCATGTATCATGGGTTCGTATTATAATTATGTAGTAGGGCTCCAGCGGACCTTTTTACTTATATGATTTTGGCGACAATTTACGTCTTTTGCGATTTTCCGTCGAGACCCGTCTGAACAACAATCGGTTGGGTGCCGAAAGAAATCATGACGTCACCAGCACAGAAAGACAAGTGTGTTGTTACTAGGCTAACTATTAATACAGTGATATCTTGCAAGCTATTTATTTACACACAAAGCATTAGTATGACGAAAACAGCGAAACATTGTGGTGATATTTTTTACCCTTAATAACATATATTTAGGTGGCATTTGGCTCTATTAGAGACAAAATAATTAATTATTGTAGGTATATGTCCTAGGTTATAATTATATTATAAAAGCAAAGGGCATTCAAGGGTCTATTTTACATTAATTTTTGCCCCCCCCCTTTTGACTAAACCTATTTTGAGAGACAATCCTACTATACGGATCAGAAACTTGGAAAACAACAAAGAGCATTTCGCAGAAAGTACCGAACTTCATAGAAAGATCCTGAAAATCAAATGGCCAAATGTTATCACCAACAAAGATCTACTAGAAAGGACTCACCAGGTGCCCATTGACAAAGACATCTTAAATAAAA